CACTCACGCTTCTGGAAACTTAAAACTTCTGCCCGTCTGCTGGCAAATGTTCACTGGGACCCAGGTTTCTGTCTTCTGCTTGTTGCCCTCAGCTGCCCCCCTCGGAGGGGAGTCTGCAAGTGAAATCCAGCTAACGTCTGGTAACGATATTTTCTTCAGAAAGACTCTACAATAAAACTTGTTCCCAACAGTTCAGTGTGTTCACCATGGCAAATAGATTAACTGGCAAAGGAGTTAAAGCTCCTTCATTATAGTTGTAATTATCTTTTTAATTTCATGATTTGCTAATAGATACAATATTTGATGCCCTTAAGAGTACACCAGCAGGGTGTTTGCTGGAGGAGCGGGCTCTCTCTGCCCTTGCTCCAAAGGAATCGCACGGCTGAGATACTCCTCTGCCTCTGGGGACCCGAGAAGGGCAGGATGAGCTTGATGGACTCACAAACTGCCCTTTAGATGGTCCCCTCCGTGCCTTTAAAACCCGTTTTCAAAGCTGCTGTGTGCAATGGAGTTTTTTAACATATCCCCATGCTTCCTATCACCCCAAATTTTCTGTAGGGTTGGTGGGAAGCCGAGGCAGACTCCAGAAGTGTGCAGCCATGCTGGCAGCCACAGGCGCACTGAGGAGCTGGAGAGTCATGGCTCTTGGTGCCCAAATAGGTTCAGTCCCTATAAATCTGAAGTGCTTTGGCTGCTGTTGCCAGGCTTTGGGTGATGCCTGGTCCATCCCTTGGTTCCTCAGGCTAATCCCCGTGCAGGGCCTCTGCCCGGGGGTGGCCCCGGCGTAGCTTGGCACGAACACCCCGCATACCCTGGCTGCGTGCAAAACCAGTGACTTTCACGTGGTCCTCTCAAACAGGTGCCTGCACAAAGCTTCAGAGGGTGGGATAATTAAACCATGTCATTTTTAGGAGGTCACTTCTATACCCTGGGCCTTGGTACAGTTGGTAGGCCAAGCAGACTGACACAGAAACAATTAAAGGCTCACTGGTGGGTGAGTTTCTTAGCATAAGCCTCAGGGATTTGGGGTGATGCTGGTGCATGATAAAATATCTCCATTTTTCTGGCTGTTTTTTCTTCCTCATGAGAAAAAAAAATAATATTTCTTCTAGGCCTACTATTTTCTGCAAGGGGAAAAAATTTCTGGAAATTTGAGTATGTTCTGTGACGCCAAAAGTGATTTTCAGTGGAAGGTGTATATACAATTCATGGAGTAGCTTGTCGGTAGTTTTATTTTGAAAAGTTTCTTTTGGGGTTTCTATCGAACAGTGATATAATCTTAATGAAGGGTAAAATCAGAACAAAGCCAAACTTCTTTCAGTTGTTTTCTTGACCCCCTCCTAGTCCCACAACTGAGCTGTAGTTTGCATGTATGTGTGTGTGCACTGAGTTTACACGTATGCATGCTGTTCAGATGACCAACGCTCAGCCTTCCCTCTCTTACAAAAATACCCTGAGGAGTACTGGCTGTGGGAGATCAGAAATCCCTTTGGGAGCAGTAGAGTGTGATGCCTGCCTGAGCTGTACTTCAGTGAAGGGCAGTTACCATGTGTGTAATATTCTTCTGAAAATACCTCTGAAGCGTGGGACGCTTGGCCAAGGTTACCCTCATTCTCCAGCTGAGGGGCAATGGGCTGCAGATCTCTTCTCAGAAACACACACCTTTGACCTTTCCTTGTTGGTCCACTGTCCGTTTGCAAACAGGCATGAGAAGCACGCATGGCGACAGGCGGGCTTGCCACCCGGGCGGTGTAAAGCCGGCAGAACAAGCGAGATGCTGTGCCAGGAGCAAAAGCCCAAACAGCCATCCGATCCAGAGGGGCGGCTTCAGCACCAGAGCACCAACTCTGCGCACGTGTAAAGGACAGGGCATTTTTCATCCCAGCACATTCAGCCTGCGTGCGAGGCTTCGAGTAGTTCAGGTTCAGGTGGTTGAACCGGACCACAGACCTGCATGCTGTACGGTTGGGATCTCACACTGTGCACAGCTCTGTGCTCACACAGCGCCTTTGGTCTGCATGGCCCAAATGTGCATTTAATCTAAACAAAGGACCGTTGCCTGGTCTTCTGCTCCCCGGACTGGCTTAAAAGTACATGTAGGTGTAGTCATGGCTGGAGTAGACCAGTTGAGCTTTGCTGGGGTGTGGATAAATGCCAGTATTGCGCGTGTGCGGTGTAATAGCTAATGCTCCACCTACTCTGCCCACCTGATGAGGGGCAAGTGAAGCAGTTGTGCTGTGCACAGCTGGACAGTTTGCCCTCTAGTGCAGCAGTGGCCCCTGGCCTGCTGAAGAAAGCCTTTTGTAAGTGTCTCTGGTGCAATGCAGAGGCTCATGGGCAGGCTGAGGCCCAGAAAAGGTGCTTGCTGCATGAGAGAAGGTGTTTGAACGTACTGAGTTGGCAAAAAGAAGAGGGGGGGGAGCTTGGGAAGCAGACAGAAAAATCAGCAAAGTGATGTGAAGGAAAAGCATTGCTGTGGGAACCGGCTGATGGTCAGCTGGGGTAGAGTCCAGGCAGAACTGCTGGCGCCCAGGCAGCTGCTGCCGGTCACCAAGCAGAGACGGGAGAGAGAGCAAGTACCAAAGCTGCACAGAAATCCACCCTGCTGGCGAGGCCCACTTACCAGCTACCCACTGTAAGCCTATAGACAATGGTTTGAACAAATACTGTGGACAGAGTTTGGGGAATATCTTGGAAGCCCTGGTCCTAAAGTCTATTACTTTGAAATTAGTCATTAGGCTTCAAAACCTGTGTCTAAAGCATGATTTAAGGACTGAATGTGTCAGGCCATATATATTCTGAAGTTTTTTAGGTCAAAGCCTCTAAGAAACAGCAGGCAGTAATGAGTCCCCCATCTTTTCACTGCTGCCTTATCTGTAACCCTTGTTTTCCCTCATCTCACACCAGCACGTGGTAAATTCCTCTACCCCATCACATTTATCTTAGAAAGTGACTTCTCAAGAAGGTGGAGTATCTCTCCTCTTCTCTCTCCCTCCCAGCTTAGAGAGCTTCTTCCTCTTTCATAACATTATAATGAGCCCCAAATCTGTTTTATGTATTTTTTCCATGATCCTATGAAAAATTCAAGCCAACTTTTACCTGCCTGCAGTGTGCGATGCTAGGACACAGACAGTGAGGGGGAAAAGACTTGTCAAGCCAGTGGCTGCATTTAATTTATGTTGCTTGTCTCTCCCTCTCCTTGGAGAGATGTACAAATGAAAATTCAAGAGACCAGAATAAAAAAAGCGTGGCTAGATAGAGGGTGGCATTAGCAACAAAATGGGAAAGGACATTTTGTTCGTGTCACAACAGGATCTATTTTTAAAAGCTTGTTGTATGTTTCATGTCATAAAATCACTTCTGGGACTATTTTTTCTATAAAAAAAAAAAAAGATTTAAAATAATGCCCATGCCCGCTGCAGAGAGCACTAAAATAGTCCACTCCAGCCACTTCAGACAGGATGTATGGAAACAATCAGCATTAGTCTGAGGTAAGAACAAATAGAGGCAACTATCTGATGACGCAGAATAAAGAGAGAGAAGAGCGGGATTTTGCTCAAGTAGATTAAAAGAGCTGGTGGCATTGGAAGGATTATTAAGGATGATAGAAGTGGTAATTTGTTTGTCCTAGTAATTGCTCTAATTGGTAGCCATCCCTTTGAGTATGAATATCCCATTGAATATTTCCAGTAACTCGCCTGGAAACAAAGAAAATGCGTTCAGATCTCCTCTGGGTGGGGGGAGACTGTTTTTACTACTGCAACAGAGGTGGGGTCAGATGCCATCAAGTGCTTTAAAAACACATTCTCTCTTCAACTGGCAGGAGCATCTCAAAATGATTGTGGTTTTTCTATGTACAGCTCTAATTAAAGGTCTAGGTTTCAATTAGTCTCTTGTTTTCCTGGCCTATAATGTTACACGTTGGTCAGAACATTTTGTTTTAGTCAGAAAGCTCACCTGTAAGGGCCCAGCCCGTACACATACTGCTCTGAGATGTTTTTAGTTATAGATGTGTGATTTTAAAAATGTATATGGGAATGAGGCATGCAGGTCCTACTGAATTTCACTTTGATGTGAGCATGCAACCCACCCAGACATCTTCAAAGTGTCTCAAAGGGCAAAATGTGTTAACTGTGCTTCAAATTAATTTTCAAAGATGAGTGGTCAGCTTTGTCAGAACATTTTCAGATTCAAAAAATATTTTAAAACTGGTATCTTCCAGTTCCAGTGTTACCTCCTTGTAAAGTCCCCCTCAAGCTAACACCAGTTACATTCAGCCTAGCACATGTACCAATCCTTCTCAGGGATTCCACCTCTGTTAATGGGGCATGAAGTGTAGGCACCAAACACACATCCAGCAGTCAAGTTCTGCTGATGACCAGACATTAACTTTAAAAATGAGCTAGTAAATTGTGTAAACCTGACTGGGAAGGAGTGTTTTTTCCTGATGGCCATTATTCAGACTCCTGAGGTGTCAGAGGGACCTCATCTCCTCGTCCAGTCTTCCAAAGCACTTCTCCCATGGGTTATCATCTCGACAGGCACCTGGTGCCCCCATGGAAAAACCTCTAAGTCTAACCAGGGAGATACCTGATGAAATGACTCAGCAACTGGCAATGTGTGAGGGAGAACTTATCACCTACATTCCCCAGGAGCCCCTCTGCCCTTAATTCCTTTTGCCTGACCCTTCCCTCCCCTCTCCCCGCCTCTGCTTTGGGCAGGTTATCTGACCATGTGGGTTATCTCCAGAATAATTTTCAAGCATCGTCACAGTAGGAGAGGGGCAGGTGACATGTGCAAGCTATGTGGGCAAGATGCTGACGCTGTCGTTCAGGTTAATTTGTAACGCTCTGAGAGATCACAGCCCGACTTCACTGACGCGGTGTTTTATCTGAGGAATAAACAGAAGTCCAAGCAGGGCTGCTGTTTCTTGTCTTTTGCTTTACTGTTGGGCAGGCTTTTGTAAGAAACACTGTATTCCACAGAGTTAAATCACACAGTAACTGAGAAATATATCTTTATTATTAGAATGTTTATATTCTAAAAACTTTTATCTGGGGTTACAGTACAATCCAATTTCTTTTTAATTAACTAACCTGGCATTTGTTCAGCAAGTAACTGTAACTGAGGCTTGGAAAAGTTTAAGAACATGCAACTTCTTTTACTCTCTTTATCTCTTCCTCCCCCAAAAGGACAACTTGAGTCAAGGTTTTGGTGCGATAAATAATAAAATAAACATCTCATTTGTGAACTAGTGGTTGCACTTAACTTTGGTGACTAACAGAGTAGATAGGCATTTAAAAATAAAAATAGTCTTTCAGTGTCAAGTGGATAAAGGATCGGATGAATATATTTTACTTTATTATCTTTCTAAAGTTCACCTTTATTATCTTCAAAAAGGGTAATTTTTTTCAGGTTTGTAAAAGGATGTAGGAAGCAATAGAAAAAACTCAAGGATGTTTCTATTTTTTGGCTTGCCTAAGAAAGTTGTTGTAACACACGATCTGACCCATGCAACACAATTTAACAACTCCTTTTCACCATACACAATGCCTAGCCTAAGGCCAAATGTGGCCCTGTGACATAAATAAATATTAAAATGTCATTACAACCTAAATACCTGAATTGGTTTTACACTGTGACTTTCTACTGAAACAGTGTTGATAAACTTTAAACATATATCTGATTGTTCCATATACACTATTTAAAATAAAAGTGAGGAATAATACTCTCTTTCTTCACTCTGCTACTTTCTGGGAGCTCTGTACACTGACAAATGTATGACATCTGTAGTTACCTGATTCTGGCTGACTGATTGGTCATCTGCTTTAAAAATATTGCAACTCAGGTGCTTATTGCAGCAGTAATCATAGTGATACACTGTCTTTTAATACTCAATTCTGCTTACGGTCATAGTTATAAAAAATGAAAAACATTTTTCACAAATCTTTGTACATGTACTGTAAAAATCACCTTCCACATAAACAATTTACATCTGTTATAAGCATTTAAAAAATAAATTACACAGACTTGTCTCACCTATCCTTTCTTTTTTTTTGAGAAAACAAGTCTCCTCAGTAACATTGACAAGATGTTCATATCTGTAAACATGGCATGAGGATTCATGTTACCAAAAAACTGTACACACAAAAAATCATCTTGATAAATACTCTGATAAATAAGGATCCTTTTAATTGGCACAAACCAATGTAAACACGCACATTCCTGTCCTGCAGTCATTTCTAACTTCCTTGCTCTTGGGTTTTCAGCTGAAATTTAGGGATCTCTCGGCTCTGTAAAGATTCTTCAGAGATAAAACCGTGCAGGATTTTGGTTATGATCACAGCCATTTTTGGCCTCTCCTGCCCAAAAGCAAGCACGGGCATTGCACACTGTGCCGTGCAACACACCGTGCTGCTTTAGCCTTTCCCTCACTGTGCCAAGCTGACACCCTGCTCTGGCACTTGGTACTGAAATTTCTCCTCTGGCTCAGTGCAGCCCGTGCTTGTCAGGTCTGCTGGACCACCTTCAGGTCTCCTTGCTAAGTGACACCAGAGGCAAAGCCATAAAGCTTCTGGAATTTGAAAGCTGTGCTTGAGACACCAAAGCAGCCCAAACTTGTACCAATAGAAAACATGGCTGCTGGCACAATCAAGCAGTTTAATGTATGTAATAAAATATGGAAATGCATCCAGCTGGGCTTATGGCAGAAAATCCAGTGTAGCAATCTACTGCTGTAAACAACCTTCAAACATCTCAAGTAGACCTTTTGCATCTATCTATGTCTGTGCAGGTAACAGGTATCATTGATCTTATACCTACCTAAGCTGAAAGACTGAGTATTTAGGTGCCGATTAAATGGATTCTTCTGAATTTGCAACAGCACAGATGGAAAAGAAATTACCAAGCCACATGCTGCCACTAAAATAATTAAATATACAGCCACAGTACTGTCCAGCAAGATAACTGCAGTCATTTAAAATAAGCTCTATAAATAAATAAATTAATAAATAGAAAAACCTCCATGTAAACTGAGTAAAATGTCACTTCTCTTACAGTGCCCAAAGAGGGAATGGCATTACTAAATAATATAAATCTTCCATACTGTATATATTTCTATATATTATATCTGATACATTTTGGCATGGCCAGATGGATAGGAAAAAGTAGGATGACTAACTTCATTCAATATTTGTTCTGTTGAAGCCAAGCTCCTGCATTACTATATATTGCAAACCATTCCTATAGCGGTTTGGCCTTTTTGCCCATCTTTGATTTTGCACTCACTTTCCTGGCAGAGCAGACTGGTTCACCTTTCTTTTGTGCTCTCCACATCTCTCTTGAGCAATCAACAGGTTCATAGAAGCATTTCACTGGCTGCAAGCTGGTTTTTTCATCCTTTGCTTTTTTCAACAGGATTCTTCCTTTTTGAAAGGAATGAGGCTTTGCATCAGGGATGTTGTATGAAGCATGTTGACTTCCTCGGCTCCTGAAATTAATAATAGTGATTATTAATAACTATTACACAATCTTGCAAAGTGATAGGTCCCAAAATGTCCCAAACCCCTACATTTCTGAAGACAGAAACAGCCTTGTTTTACAGGACTAGGCTGAAAGTTAAAAACAGAGTTGCAAGATGAACTATATTTCCCAATATTTAAAAGCATCTCTCACTACAAGCACCCCTACATGTGTTCATCTACACTTTTATTCAAATAGCATTATGCTGATTTTGGAGCGCCGAGCCCTTACTGAGATTTACATTCTCCTAACTTAGTGATCTACAGGGTTTTTAAAGATGCACATGTTCATGGCAACCTTCTACAAAGTATGAATATCACACGGTCTTTGGAAGACCGCACAACAGCAGTAAAAAATGGGTGTAGAGTCTGTAGGAACGTGGTGGGATCTCAGCGCTGCCCTGAACTGTGGCCTGGCCCCATGGAACCGCAGCTAATGGCCAGTAGCTCAGGAATCTCCACACTCTGCCTTTGTACTGGCCACCCATTTAGGGAAACTTCAGCTTTGCTTTTAGGCTTTGGTTTGAAATGGGAGAAGAGGAAAGGGGAATACAGAAATTGGTGGGAAGAAGGGTATGAAAACTTAAAAGGCCAGAGTAAGCTGAATTCTCTCTGTGATGGTTCAAGCCCAGCAGGATTTACTGAAATCAGTGAGCTCAGGTGGAGTGACAACACGGTGCCTGGTGCTACAAAGGCCGAGCCATGCCCTCTGCTCTGAAATTTTATGTTGCAACCAGAGTTCCACAGTTTAACTAAATAAGATCACTGAAGTCCCTTTTAACATAATCTTGAAATATTTTGCAGCAGATACATGTTGTGTAACAGCAGCACTATGAACGTAAGGCACCAGCCCATGTCTGCCCAGCTACTGTGACTGAAGTGAACAACAGATGTGCTGATGTACAAGTCGAGCTTTTAAGGGTTCCCGTAGGGCTATTTTCCATAGCTCATTATTTCTGGAAACCACATTACTCCTTCTGGGAGTTAAACAATACTGCACACTTGACAAAGCCAGTTTTGGAAAAAGGTGTTGTTGTTCAAGTGTTATAGTGCAAGACCTCTCCTACAAAGTCTCTGTATTAGCTGGTGGGAGGCAGTGAGGGCCGGTCGACAGCACAGGAACTGAGCCTTACAGTTTTACCTGGCTGGCACCTTTGCCAACCAGACTTTGCTATGGGGAAGTTCTGCAGGGAGAATGCCATGCAGGTCCAAGCTGGAGCTTGCAGGCACTGTGCCGTGCTGGCCTGGTGCAGGCCTGGACTCTGACCACTTGCTGGGGGTTAGAGGTTGTGTAAATGCAAAAGTGTTGGTCACTCAGGTTTACGATCACTTCTTAGGCACTGTTTCACAGAATCACACAATCACAGAATTGTATCGGTTAGAAAAGACCTTGAAGCTCCTCCAGTCCAACCATTCACCTAACACTGACCATTCCCAACTCCACCAGATCCCTCAGCGCTGGGTTGACCCGACTCTTCAGTCCCTCCAGGGATCCCGGGGACTCCCCCCCTGCCCTGGGCAGCCCATTCCAACACCCAACAGCCCCTTCTGGAAAGAAATCCTTCCTAATATCCAGTCTAAACCTTCCCTGGCACAACTTGAGGCCATTCCCTCTTGTCCTATCGCTGTTGTTACAGTCCATTACTTAGTTTTTGTTAAAAGATGTAGTGCTCTATTTTTCTTGATGTTGTTATGGTGAAAAAGTTACATCATTTATTCCCAAAGCATAGACAGGCATACTGCAGGTGATTGCAGGTGATGTTTAGTCACACATCTGCTGCCCTGGACGATGCTGTCAAAATATTAAAACCCAAAGGTAGTCAAGGTTATTATGATCAGAGGGGATTGCCTAAAAGAGCTAAACTGTATTTTGAATGAGTTTGCGGTAGAGAAGATGGACATCTGTCCCTAATTCACAGTCAGGGTAAGAAGGTGTCTAAGATGGATGAAGATGCAGGTCCATTTCACATGAAATGCAATGCTGCAAGCTCCAGATGTAGGAAATATTTTTCCCTTCAAAGTGGCAGCTCTTTGACATAAGTGACTACGAAAGTCTGAACTTCCTACTCAAACATATTCCTAATTTGTCACATTATGAAGAAATACTGAAATAATGTGACTAAATGCACTCCACTGCCATAGGCACTTAAGAACAATCCTATTCTTGCTGCATTACACAAACATCAGGTACTTTTCAAGACAGGTCTCATAATTTTGAGAGACCGAATTCTTAAGCTTCTTCACAATGGGAGCTGGCATTTAAATTTGATTTAGGCACAGATGTGCCAGTAAGTCTCGGTGCCTTGGAGAAAAGGCTAGTGAGCATCATCAGCAAAGGTCTGCCATGCCCTCAGTTGGGCATTTCCTGAAAACAGCCAGGAGAAACTGGAGAAAAGGAACTGGGAAGCAATGCAGCGGCCTTGCAAGTCCAATTACTGATCCCAAATGTAAACCACCAGTGGCTCCAAAGCCCATGAGATTATACTGAATTTTCTGTATGGGTAGTAATATTCCCATTTTTTTAAACTCGTACATATAATTAAAAACTCATTTTATGTACTGAGCTGAGTTAGAGTTCTTAAAAACAGCTGGTGTGGTGAATGCAAATGCTGGATTCATCCACAGAACAGGCAGAGCAAAGTAAAACTTCCCTACACCTTTGAGCATCCTCTCTATCCTCTCTGCTTCGTAGGACAAATTGGGATATTTTTAACCTGGTAATTCCAAATTAAGGCTACTACTAAATTCTAGTTTTGACAGTGTCTTTTCAAATGAGAAGTATATCAGTGGTTAAACAGAAGCCTCTAAACAATTTCATATATGCCTTTGAACTCCCACTATTTGTCAGCAATTAACAGGTTTTACCAAACTGCATTATATTTAGACCAAAGACTTGTCAGTAGAAGGACTCATCTCACCGCATCACTGAATTCACTGGTTATATTTTAATTCTATTTTGCTTGATTCCAATCATCTTAAGACATCTAGAAGCTTGAAAATTGTATACACAGTCATTTCAAAATCTACTTTGGACAATAATGTTTTCCAGAATCTCAAATCAATGGGGGGGGGGAAGCTATAAAAAGTAGAAAAAACAAAGCTAAAGCCCCATGCTGTTAAATATTAATGGAAACACTGCTTATCAGTAAAAGGGTACTTGGCCAGTTGCCTGCTAGGACTAAGATACATGAAAACCAAAAATAACCTGAGTTGCCTCCCCCCAACCCAGTAGGGTATACATTGTAGTTTTAGTTTATTTGCCAGCCCATCCATCTGTTCATGTGTCTGTCAGTCTTCCAGTAATTCTTGAACCCAGTGGTCAGACACAAACAAATATGGCAGGGACACATAATTCCCAGACCAATGTGTAACACGTTTTATAGCAAATGTTGGGAAAACATTGGGAAAACAACCCAAACTCGTGTCCCCACTAAGCAAGCTTGCCCGGAGGAAGGATGCACTGCCTGACCATCACTTGGCCAAGCAGCACCCATGTTGCTCCGAACCAGACGCTGGGACTCGTGACCAAGTCACAAAGACATGGGAAACCAACCCCCATTAGTTCTGCTGCTCCCAGGACAGCTGCTTGAGTAACCCGAGATGTTTAGTACCCAGGCTTTGTCAGGGCACTTGTTTGCTTACATGTGATTTTTAAGTCAACAGTGTTACTGTCAGTTAGGAAATGACAACTGTCTCTCTCCGACCTACAGAACATTAAAGATATTTTCAGCTGAAACTTGGCCTGTGTTTGCTGAAGAGATTCAACTACTGTAGCTTTGCAGTAGGCTATTATAGTCAGCAGGAAGGAGTCATTCATTCAACAGAAAATGATTCTTCTTTTTTTTCTTTAAAGAATATGTGATTTTAGCTTTCATTTAGCAGAAACCTGTCTTTTCTCCATTACATGACATAAATATAGATCATAATCTGGTACAGAACCTGATCCAAACCCAACCTGATTCAGGCTTTTGGGTAAGGTGAAAAGCAAAAGCAGAACTTTAAGCATGTCAAGTTAGTGTATTTAAGTAAGAGAAAAATAAAAATATATACATACAGGCATCTGGGTTTCTTATTTAATGAAATGTCTGTAAACTGCAAAGAAAACAGAAACAGGTTATTAGTATTAATATTACATTATCAAGTAATTAGAGTACAGGCATAAAATATATGCAGTTTTCAAAACTGTATTTCTGTTCTCAGCTGCTGTTAAAACTAGAATAGTCATGAAAGAAGCTGAAAAAAAACCTTCTACAGATTATTATTCCTCCATCTTATTACAAGTTTTTAAAATTCATAACATGTGAATTGTTAGTGGTTGGATTTTTTTCCCCATTATTTTTATCGTAACCATAATCAAAGTAAATTGCTAAAGAAGTGTGGGCTGAACAGAGATCTTTCACATTAGATTAAACTGTATGGATACAATGAGAAGTAATTATTGTGTTCAAGATAATTAATAAGGGACAGTGCTTGAATAAGCTGTATTAAATTAACTTTCTCGCAGAGCCTTTAATTTTGCAGTGATACATTTCCTTTACACAAGCGGGCAGGAAACTCCGGCTACAAGCCCTTGGCTCTGACTACAGCAGCACTGAAGGGTAGAGGGCGAGAACACAAGCATTTCTGTCCCTTCCCACCCCAAATCCTGAGAACAGCTAGGGACAGCACAGCCTCAGTGCCAGCACAACTTTGCATGACTTGATTTTTTACAGCAGTTTGGTTCACAGTGTGGAAACAGTTTGTCTGGTCCCTCTTTTAGTGGGGGTCAGGAAAGGAGGTGTTTAATGCCAGCTCAGCTTAAATCGGTCTGGGTACTAAATCGGTTCTTTGTACTGATCTCCCATCAGTGCTACCGGACCGAGGCTTTGAATATCATTTAATGAAGTCACTGAGCCAAGCAAGTCAGATCTGGCATCTGAAAATGACTACGTTCTTGTAAATGTTCCCTCTGTCCCTGGTATTGTCCACACTTTGCAGATGGATTTTTGCCCAGCCTAACTCTGCTTGTCATCTGTCTTGGATGGAGTCTGGAGCCATCTCATGGTGTGCTTTTCTGTAATTACCTCCTGAAGGTCAGGCTGGTCAGTATTTGGATGGATGACTTTAGAGGAATGCTGAAGTCACTCAGAAAGCAGGGCAGCTGCCTCAAAAATTAGTGCCTTCCCCAGGGGACACTGCTGAGCCAGGGATCCCAGTAAACATAGCAAGAGCAGAGGAGATGATTTAGTACTGAGGCCCATCTTTACAGTCCCCCCTGTGTTTCACCGACACTGTTTGAGATGTCCTGCACTAGATTTTAGCACATCTACATCTATTCAGGTCTTTGTCTTCCAAGTGGCTATGGGAACCTTTGTTTTCCACCACTGCATTCCTGTACAGTGCTGTGCATGATCAAACGCCTTTCCTCTCACATCCCAGGACGAGCAATTACTTAGCACAGGCAGCATGGGGTAGTCATTTAAACAGAAATGTTCTTTGGAAGTCCTGTGCCTAAAACTTGCCATATAAATGTATTGTAAAGAAAATACTGAGTTTGTGTATTAATAACAAGGGCTTTTAAACAAATAATGTGTTTTAAAAAACAAGGTTCAGACAGCTTTGGTTTCTAATCTGTGCAGAACAGGCCTGTGGGAATCCATTCACCATTTTGAAAAGTCCCGTGATAGGTAACTACAGAAAGCAAGCCCATTTGCCAGCAGGCTGAGATGTCCTCTGTAGGCATCCGCATCTTTCCTGAAAAACTTTAGACATCTCCAAAAAACTGCCAAGTCACTAAGTGACATAAAGGAAAGTGTTTGTTGTAGAGGTAACAGCAGCTGGAAAAAAATTAAAATTTTCCAGCCAAAGATGGAAAAAAAATTAAATATCTGGCAAATATTTCATTATTCTCTGCTCTCCCTTTGCCTTCTTTGGCTATTGCTGCTCTTGCACTCTCTGCTCCTTTCACTCATGTGAGGGAGCAGTTTAAAACATAAATAAAACACATCTAAAGAAACATTTTACAAATACAGATCTGTATGGAGTAGCAATTAGCCTGACCTACTGAGCCAACCCGTATTCGAGCTCAAGTACTTTCCCTCTGGTGGTGGGTGACAACGCAGGGAAGGACTTTGCTGCCTTACCACATGCTCGCTGACGTCGGTGTGGTTGCAGACCATCTGCTGATTTTGGTAATATTCTAGCTGCCTTTCTGCCAGATCCACGCGCTGCAACAGGTTCTCAATGAAGTGCTGGAGCCTGGCTTTTCCCCGCACTTCTTTTTCTGCTGCTTCTTCCAGGAAGTGGTTGAAAGTAACAACTTCTCTGCAAGATGGAAACATTGCAAAGAAGCCACATTTAAATAATAGGAAGGGCCCTGGACTCACCGCTGTCAAAAAATTACTGATCCTTGATCTGGTTTTCATGGTGATAGCCAGTGGTAGCTAATTACTGTCCTTCACCTCTACTTAAAGATTTCTGTGGACACAGTGAAGATCTGGAAGCCTGAACGTTGAATTTAAGTTTAAGGGCAGTGGGTGTGGGTTTTTCTGTCACATTATTAGGTCTCTTGGAAAGAGTCTTTAATAGTCTCAGGGTAGAAATGTCATTAAGCATCACCTCTCAAGGTATCTGGAGACAGCAACAGCCACTTTATCTTTTTTTTTTTTCTTACTTACCCATGTGAACATCATCTCCGAAACATGAAGAAAAATGGATGAACCCCCAAATTTATCTTCCCAGTTCACCGCAAACTTACAATGGTAGTTTAATGTTGCTACTGGTGGTAGTTTAATGTTGCTACTGGGGTGGTTCGTAACTTAAAAGAGCTACTGTAGCCATTAAACTTCATGTTGGCTGCAATCCTGCAAGTACACCGAAGTGTAGTGTTATGATCTGGGGCTAGTGGGAGCACAGGAGATGAACAGATAATCCACAGATTACAGACCAAGAAGTATGTGTGTGGGAAGAGCGAGTTTTAGGACTTCAGAAATGTTTATTGTCTGGTAGCGCAATTGGAAGAGACAGTACCACTGACTGTGAAAGGTCCCAGCTCTGGATTGAGACAGCTCATTTTGAAATGCTCTGCGTACTATCAGTTTACTATCAGTAACTGGGCCACCATTTGGACCTCTGATTATCAGAGGACTTTCTGGGTGGGAGGAGTTTGGTTACAGAGTGAAGCAGGTATTACAAAAAATGGCAAATCTGAGCACGCAGGGTTTCCCCGGTTAATAAATGCCTGGATAAACAGTTCTTGTTCTGCCAATGAAACCATGTTAATTTTTACTTTGTACAAAAGTGAGGGGGTGGGAGTTGGGGGAACCAAAGCTTGCCAAATGAGAAAGGGCTTGATAGCATCGCCTGAGGAAAAAGCATTTTAAGCAGAAACTAGGAAACAGTCTCTAGCAGAAATAACCTTTCAAAGCTTAGCCTGTGTATAAGAAATCCAAAGTTTCTCTGCATTTCATTAACTCAGCATAGTTAATTGGTTTAACTCAGCAAGGTTGTTTTAAAACTGAGCTGGTTTGCTCTAAGAAAAGTTAGGCACAAGTGGTCAGCTATGGAAATTGCCATCTAGGACTCGGGCTGTGTCTGCCTGTTCTATACCACAGCAGCAAGAGGCTCTCTGCATGGCTGTTCTAATGGTAGGAATGTGGTTAAAAAAAGAGAGTATGTATTGTTTGGACGAAGAACAGGGATGAATTAGTTTATATTAACTCACCCATAAAATTTGGCTTAAGAAACAGAGATGTACCTTGTTGGTTAAACTCACCTAATCCATTCCATTTCGAGGCTCTGTACAGTTTCTGTGATTATTATCTTGCCCAGAGCAACCTGGTAATAAAAAGCCACTGAGGAATGCTTAGGAAAAAGCCAATCTAAACTCATTAAGGACAATTTTAGGGTTTTATTCTCACTGCACTTACAGCATTGTAATTTCTTTGATTTCACGACGCCACTCCGGTTTTGCGTTAGCGTAGGAGCAATCTGAAGCCCTTGGCACTCTGTCAGGCTCCTCTTTTACAGTGGGAAGGGAGCTCAAAAGGTTGCAAACTCAGCAGGTCAGCTCCAAATCCCTTACCCTTTGGATCAGGAAGGAGAAGTGTGCGTGGCCTGCCAGGCGGCTGGGACACCATGAGGACATCCCTCCCAGGGCCAGTGTCAGCCCGTGTGTCTCACTGCAGCGGGAGGCCACAAACATCAAGTACCTGGCCTTTGTTTTTAAAAGGGTGATAGTTTCAAGAATACTAACATTTGTAATTGTCTCAGCAAAGGTAATTAAAAAGCATTCATTAATTGCTGACTCCACGGCATGAACAGATCACCCACAAATTTTCCTTTCCTACAAATATCTTGTTAGTGAGCTGTGCCATAAGAGGGATGGGGAGAACCAGTGTTTTTTCTGGAAGACTTACATAACTATCAGGAGAACAGACACATAATGTCAATAAATTCCCTAGTATTTTCCTTGCTTTACTCAAGATAACTTGGCATCATACATGCCATTATTTTGGAGGGACTGTTACTAGCAGCACTAGTAGCATTTCCATCATTTTTCTCTGGCTATGAATCTACCTCTAATAACTTTTATCTAAAAATTTTCCTTTGGGCTGTAATGGTACCAGCACTCTGTAAATTCCCTTTAGAAAGACAGGAGCCAGAATATACCCACCCACTAGGTCTGGCTCACACACCTCGTCCTGATAAGCAGTACTTCCATCAGTTCAGCTACTTTCTTTGTTTCCACTTCATTCTCATCTCTCAGAAGAGCAACATCAAGTGATGAGCAGTGACTTCTAGTAAGTTTGCTGCAACACCTCTTCCTCAGAGAGCTCATTCCATGCCACGGCTATGCCTCGGTGACCTGAAGGGAGCTCCAGAAGAATTTTTACCCTCCTCCCACCATGAATAATAGGGAAATGGTTCAAAGAACTAGTGTAGCTTCCGACAGCTGCTGTTTATCTGTTTAATCACCCTTCTTGTCTCTTGTAGTTTGCCCAGACTTTTTCTTACCCATAGCGATGACCCTCTCCCTTCAACTCTATTTCTAGATATCTGTGATGACTTTTTGCTTAGGTTCTGTATTTCACTTTCAATTTATTTCTCCGGGCCTCTGCCAAGGTTTTTTTGGATTATGTGATACTATTTCTATCTCTTACTCTCTGCTCTGATGCTTGTGGAAAGAAGGATGTTCACAGAGGTCAGATGCTGCTTCTCATGAAGTCAGGGGGAAGCTGAGCCCATGAATACTGTGGGGCCCACTTGGTAGAGGCATAAACCAGAGCACAGCAGCACGGGCCCGCTGGGCTCTGTGTCTTGACAGAACAGCTCTGTCAGCAGTGCTCACCTGAAACAGGAATCACTTGTTAAAGCCTGGCTCAGACCTGAAGCATTGCCCTTTCTAATGAGAGGTCTCCGCTGCCCTCCGCCGACTATTCCACATCTGGAGCACTGCTGCTATATTGAGAAACGGTTATGCAGAGTTATTAACTCCTCTTGTGAACTCCTCTGCTCCCAGCATCATCTCTTTCCCACTCTGCTCTGCTCCTCTGTTTCCTCTGCCCATCAGCCTGCAGTGTCCTGCCCGTTCTCACTCAACTGCACCCTGGCACTTGCTGTAGCACTGCAAGCTCTAGATCCTGCCTCTACATTTTCTGACTGGAGTAGATGATCGTCAGTGCAGCTCAGATCACTGTAAATTTCTACAACAGTTAGCAGAGCGATCTCATCTGTTTGCTCACAGTTTACTACACTAGTATTAGGTATGTTGTATAGCAAAACATTTTGTTAGAAGGCTGTGACTGGGCATCGGGGAGAAAGGTGGGTTTCTTGCTTTGTCTTGGATGCTCCTGTCAGACAAAACCTTTCAGGAGGAGGCACCATTGCTGCTGCTGTCCAGAGGGCACATCGAACTGCCAGCAGCTTGTGGTGACAGGGTAGGCAAGCAGGAGGGAAAGACAAGGAGGATGCAACCTGGGAAGTGTCGGAGAGGAGCAGGAGGTGCCTGTACTGCCAGGCTGCCCAAGAAGAGCTCTTCCCAGAGCCAGAGGGGTCTGGGGAAAATTTATTGCAGTGCAGCAGGCAACTCGGAGGTGCTCAGCTGAAAAAACAAGTGCAGAGGGAAGGACTCACTGTAGGCAAGAAAGACTTGCTGCCAAAGCTTTTATTTTAATCTGACTGCCAGGGAGTTAAAGTGTTTAGTTAAGTCTGGTTAACTAGTTTGGTGGTTTGCATTCCAATTGCAGCCTAGCTGCCCTCACAGAAAAACTGCAGATAGCCCACCTTGATAATTTACCCTGAAACCTTCTTTATGGAGTTTGTGGTCATGAAACAGCACGATGTGGTAAATAAAGTTATAAATCATAGACTGACTAGGTGACATCTATTCTTCTGCCTCTATCACTAGATTATACAGTGCTCCTTGCAGGACTAGTGAGCTACAGTTCTTGTTTACCAGAGCAGTTGCTGACATGTGGACCCTGCAGATACCCTTAGTATTTGAATGCTCCTTAACAACTGACAAGAAGGGCTAATGATTTCTCGCACTGCGAGCAAGCCCTCCTACAGATGCATAATACTGGTCCCAGGACTATTTACAGCAACTACAACTGCTCTGTAGGTGGAGACATGAAGCTTTATGCAGATTCTGCACCCAAGCATCAAATCCCTTTAGAGAATTGTATTTGGAATAACTCTGCCTAAAATCAGCAGAAAACCAAACACTTATTTTACCTGTGGTTGGGTCCCCCTGAAGATGGGAAAATTCCTACTACAGTAGGAAGTAGTAGTGATTTACTTGTGAAAATTTCACATGTGATTTATTCATGAAGATTTTAAAAATATGTACATTCATTAAGTATTAATGCTACTGACCTCATCTATCATTCAGCGGTGTTATTGCCTGAAGGCTGTTATCTGTTATTCATTAGGTTGTGGTATCACATTCCTATAACCACTATCAGCACACTCAATTTAAGAGGTTCACACCTCCTCCCCTCAGAAAGTTTTTTGTCCTACCAGTTGCACCCATTCAGTAGGCTGTGCTCTAGATCTGAGCTCTGAACTTACTGGGGTGACACCGTGAAGATTAAAATGCTTTATTTCACAGAGCCGTTCTGTGGGATGGTCATGCTACGCTCGAACCAAGGCAGCTGTGGGGGTAGTAGTAACTCGAGTGGGAAGATCAAAGCGGGAAGAGGGAACGGGAGCACCTGAAACCAAAGGTGGAAGAACAGCATGTAGTTGTGGTTGTATTCTACTTGGAGCAAAATCAAAACTATTTTGCTGTACAACTGGAATTTGTATTTAAGGAAAATAGTTGTTTTAAAGCATAAATCGCAGTGATCTCTAAAAACCTACTCAATCCCACTGTCGAGATGCTACTTGCACAGATAATTCCATTAATTGGAAATTGAAGGTGAAGCCACTGGCAGGCATAATTACTCCCCACCACAGCTATGATGAAATAGCCCTTTCATTCCAGGCTATGCCAGAGTAGAGGCATGAGCAGAGAGTCTCAAAACAAATTCATTAGACTGGTTAAAGAAATTACTGTTAGAGATACAGCAACATACTGCATTAATGTTCTTACCCTATAATAATGAGACAAAGTGTAACTGTTTAAGTCATCACTGATGGTAGCTTTCAGCTGCAGACCATAACTTCAAATGCTTACCCTGTTCAGACTTACTGAAAATTAAACTTACCAGTTTCATTTTCTCACATAACTTCCAGAAACAAGTCTCTGTGTCCCAGAAGTTAAATTCATAGCTGGTTTTAGTTTCAATGGTTTTCTTGATATCTTATTCAACACAATCTTATTCCCTTTGGGCAGGCTTCTGTGTTATCTTTAAGATCACAGTACTCACTCTAAGTTGCATTCTCCTTCATCAAACATTGAATAATCCCTTTCAGGGCACATTTTCTAATTAAATCATTCCTTTGCTCAGCAACTCTGCTGAAAGCTTGACCCTGTAGCCATCATTCATCAAAACTGTCCAGGGCCTAACTGAAGCAGGTTGGTGAATAGAGACCTGTTTTAGTAGCTGTGCTGGCTTCTCTAGAACATCCAGTTTTCTTTTTTCCCTCCCAAATAATAATAAAAAAAAAAGCTTTGGCCTTTCTAAATATGAGAATAAGTGACACAGGAGTGACTGCTGTAAGACTTTTCTATGCTTAATTCTGTGAGTAATTCTAACTATACTAATACATAGTTGATGTAATGTGGTATGTCCATCTGTCCTACTCCTCAACACAGTTCATCTCTGCAAGGGCATCACACTATATTTTAACAGCATCTACCCATGTGCCTGTTACCACAGCCATTTTTTGAAAAGGAACAAAAATAAAATTATCTAAAAAGACATCTTCACTTTATCGCTGCCTTTGTTGGACTGCTATAGGCTTTATTTAAAACAACAAAAATAATCAACCGACAAGTCTACAGAAATAACCTTACTGACTGTACAGACTCTTCAAATGGGCAACCCTGTGCCTGCTGGTGGCCTAAACCAACACTCCAACCTCTCATCAAAATGAGAGGTCAACAGTAAAACTTCCCAGTCCTGTCATTTGAAATTAGTGCTTTGATTAGCAACAACAATGTAATTCAGAAGAATTTGTTCCCTACAGAGTTATGAAGCATACAGACTTGCTACTTGCTTTGGAGAACACATCAGAAAAACCAGCTTCTGACAATGCGGCCACTTGGTGGATCACAGTTTTTATGTACCTCTCTCACACACCTGCTGCAGGCAAAGGTTCAGGACACAGGGGCTTTTAAGGTAGAACAGAGGGGAAGT